ATGTGTGGGCACATGAGAAAGAATAGGGATTAAGAACAAGGTATCCAAGGTAAAGTAAGAGTGCCGCAAATGAAGATAAGTTGAGAGAATTGGTTAAGGTGGTTTGGACACATGAACCGAAGACCTACAAATGCTCTGGTTAGAAGATGCAACTATGAGACGAAGGCTTAGGGCAAAAGGGATAGAGGAAGACCTAGGAAGACTGGGAAAGAGACTTTAAGAAAAGATATGGAGTACTTGGAGCTAACGGAAGACATGGCGAAAAACCTAAGCGCATTGGCGTTCTAAGATTCATATAGCCGACCCCACTTAATGGGATAAGGCTTGGTTGTTGTTGTTGTTGTATGCCTTGTGTAACCACCGAAGTTAATATAAACAGGATCATTTTTATTATGTGACCAAGGCAATGATAAAGTTTCCACATATCAGTAATTTTATCTTGTAAAGCCAGTAAATGATAAATACATGAGTTCAATTTTATTATGAGATAGATCCAAGGCAAATTATATGAGACTTCCAAACATAATACAGACCATTATTAGAATGAAGTTAAATTTCTCACATATTGTCCAATACAGAGCTGATCAACATTCAAATAAACAAAAAAAATCAACAAAATCATAAATATTGATGCTAGTCTCGCACCTTAAGTTTCACTGATCCAAGAAATCCTGCCTTAACCTTCACTGGTAATTTTAGTGCATTGAGTGCCTCAGGCTTCAGCTGCATATTTTTTAGCTCCACATCACCTATTTCACATTTGGCAAGAAATACGTAATAAGGTTCTCAAGCTCTATCGTAATAAGTGTGTTTTTTTTTTCTCTTTTTGAAATGAAAAGATGAAAGTGCAATACATAAGAGAAAATGTACAGTAGCTTAATAGAAGAGAACATTAATTTAACACACTACACCTAGCTTAAAAAACCAAAATTAGTCATAACAATATAGCTTTCAAAGCTAGATTATATCGGATTACAGCTCTCCAAGATAGAAGCCATTCTCAAAGCAAACTACAGCTAAATAGAACAGACGACAAGAACAAGACTCAAAGACAGTACAGCTTTCCACGCAGACGGTGTAACAAGAAAACCATGTTCTCTGAACAGTGGAACTATTGATGCGCATTACGCATGCCCAAGACTAGACTCTCCGTCTAGTAGATATTTAATTTTCTTATCATTAGTACTGCTATTTCTGCCAAAAAAGAAAAAATTGAAATGTGCCTTTATATGTTGTTGTCATGACTCTATATAGGTTGAAAGCTGTTGCCATGACTGAGATTTCTTTGAAATGGGTTGCATGCGTGTCCGCAGTAACATTTCACCGATGACTTATCCTGCCCCGCCCTGTATCCGAATTCTACATCTCTCAGGTCCCTTTCATTTTCACTACAATGGTAACCAAACTGAAAACCATGTAGCCATTTAAATTTAGTAAAATGAATAGACGGACATAGTGCTTCTGACAAACACAGAAATGATCATCATTGTACCCCAAACGGCTAAACCATTTTCTTCAACGACGAAATGGACGAAGTTGGCACAATGTCACTGAAACTTGCAAACCCATTTCTCTTTTTTCCCTATTGGCAATGGCAAGTTGGCAACCGACCCCAAGTAGCTAGTAGAGTGTCACTGTACTACAAACCCCTCCCTCCAAACCTTCCATTGGCAACCAACCTCCCCTAAAACCCTAGCATTAATCGACACCACTCAAAACGCATCACTCCAAACAATTCCCAATTCAATCCACAGAAAACTCAAAAATTCAGTAAATAAAAACAATCAAAGCACAAAAGTAAAACCCCTTGCAATTTGCAAAGGAAATTGAACAATCAGGAAAACAAAGTAGAAGAGGAAGTAGGAGCAAAAGGAAGCATGTCCAAGGAAGGAACGAACGAACCTCGCCAGACACTGATCTTGAGGGCCTCCTTGTTGAGCCCCCTCACGTAGTCCCCCAAGTACCTCTGCAGGAGGTTCGCCACCTGATCCTCCAACATCTTCTCTTCGCCGGCCCGATCTTCCTCCCAAATTGTTATCTCCTTTCGACCGACTGAAATCGGAAGAAATCGCAAAGTGTTGGCTTCCAGACGACGCTACGTACTTATACCACTGGAAAATGCGGCCCGGATCATCGATTCTCTGTTGCGCGGAACAGATTGTTATTGTGGTCTGACCAGTGCAATGTAGCCGTGTGTGCGGAAGGGTTCTGCGATCTTACGTGGCGGGAAAGCATACGATTCTGAGGGTGGACTGTTGGTTGAGTGTGGGTCTTTGGCGGTGTACGCTTTATCAAAGCGATGTCGATTGGCGCCTCTCTATGGTCTACGTGGCGGGCTCGACGTGATTAAAGGCGCAAACATCATCTTCGCATCTTTCACCTAATTCATCAAATCAAGAGATTTAGATCTTTAAAATTTGATTCAATCGTTACAAATTTACAAAATTTATATAATATTAACCGTTTAATTAAATTTCAAGAATCGAACCCCTTAATTTGATAAATTAGGTGAAAGAGATCCAGAAACATCATTTTCGTTCCCTGTATTGGTCTTGGAGCGTTTAAAATATCTGAAAATCTATATGCAAAATTTTTGGAAGCCCAACCGACAAATAAGTAAAAGCATATGTGCAGCTAGGGAGGTCATTGCAAAAGGTTATTCTTTCTTTCTTTCTTTTTTAATTTTTTTTTATCAAACGATAAATTTGTTAGATTAAATGTTATATTAGAATATGGGAAGATCGTTGGGAAATGTCGAGGATATATTAAATATTGATAATAATATCGGCTTCTTTAGATGGAAATAATGAAAATTTAAAATGAAACTTTAGAGATTGTCAAACATTGGTTTGAACGAAATATAAGTGTTTCTCTGATATTTAACAGATATGTCAGAATTATCGACAATATCTGTCATTTTAACCTAAACTTAAAGTTTCTCTGACAGGATGTGAAGTTTAGATTTCACCCCTCATTTCCATATCTTTCTATGATTTTTTTGGATATTTTTATGAAAATGTCGATCGTAATGAAAAAAAATTTAAACACAAGTTTGGACTCAATGTATGAGATAATTGTCTTTTTCTTTTTTTATTCTAAAATAAACTATATGATCTACACTAAGACCATCTCCAACCCTTAAGCTAAAACCTAAAATTTTTAGCCCAAAAAATTTAGGGCATGTTTGGTACTACTTGAATCCAACTTTTTTAACTTAAAAACAATTTTCAAGTTTTAGGCTTAAAAACTTGTTTGGTAGGCCTATTTTCAAAAACTGAACTCAAAAATATAGTTTATTCTCTAAAAAAACAAAAAGTGAATTTTTAGAGTTTTTAAACTTACACTCACTCCTTTCTTTTCTCTCCCTCCTCCCGCTCTCACTCCAAATCTATCTCTCTCTTTTCTTCTTTCTATCTCCCTCTTCTCTTTTTTTTTTTTTTTTTTTTACCTTTTTCGTCTCTCCTCTAATCCATTATCTTCATTCTCTCGATTATGTCTCTCACTCATCTTCCTCTCTATCTCCTATGATCTTCTATTTTCTTTCTCTTTCCTCCAATCATGTCTTACTTTCTTTCCTCCTCTCTCCTCTTTCTCCCTCGACCCTCTCTTTTGGGATCTCTTTGTCCAGTTTAAATTGTAAGATTTAAAATCTTTAAATCGCATACCAAACAAGTTTTTGAGTTTTCAAGAAATGTTCTTAAGAAATGTTTTGAGAAATGATAAAAAATTTCAAATAGGATACCAAACAATCCCTTTGGTTTTAACCCAAAAACAACTTTTTTGCTCCAACCTTTGTGGGTTAAAATTTTAGCCCAAATCATTAAAGAATCAATTTAGGCTAATTTTTTTTTTCTTAAAGTAACTTTAAAAAAAAAAATTATGTAGATTATCCTAATTTAATTTTATGAACATTTTAACCTAAAACTATTTAGATTCCAACAAATATTGAAAAATCACTAACCAACACCATGAAACCAGTGAAACACTATAAAAGAATATGAAACACATAAAAAAAAAATTAATTACTTTAACCGTTGGATTTAAATTTGGACCATTAGATATTTTTTTTTACCATTGGATTTCATCAAATTAGATCATAACCGTTGGATTCAATTAATTTATAAATGTAAAACTAAAAAAAATATATACATATATGGTGGACCAACCTCACTAACTTAAGGGGAATCATGGGCTAAATTTGGCCCAGACATGAGTTTTGACCTTTAACTCATATTTGCCCCAAGGGTTGGAGCAAATTGGGGTAAGTTTAGAACCTAAATTTGAGTTTTACTCCAAGGGTTGGAGTAGGTCTAAGGGGTGAGAAAGTGGGCGAAAACCATCTCCAACCGTTGGGGATAAAGCTTAAAAATTTAAAACAGAAAATTTTAAGACATAGCCCATAAACTGTTTTTCTCCTCCAACCCTTAGACCAACTCCAATGGTTGGACTAAAAGCCAAACTTTTTACCCCGAAAAATTTAGCTTTTAGCCAGAAACAGCTTTTCAACTCCAACCATTTTGGACTAAAATTTTAGCCCGGAATCATTAAAGAATGAACTTAGGCAAATTTTTTTTCTTAAATTAAATTTAAAAAAATAAATAAATATGTAGATTATCGTAAATTAATTTTATGAACATTTTAATCTAAAAATATTTAAATTCCAATAAATATTGAAAAATCACTAAATTTTCTACAAAGCAAGCCTTTAACTTTCCACCAATCTTTCAACCTTGGGCTATCTTTTAATTCACTAACCATTCAACACCAAATTTTCAATTCATCAACCATTCAACACCAAACTTTCAACTTTCCCCAACCGTTCAACTTTCATCAATCATCCTCTATATAAACATATGTCCAATATTAGTTGATCACACAACCTTTCAACCTTCAATCATCCTCTATATTCACCAATCTTTCAGCTTTCAAAGAGTTTTTGTTTCCTAAAAATCATCAATATCTTATCAATGGGTGATAGAAAAAGGCGTAGCATAGCAATGATGGCACAAAGCCAAGCAAGGATTGAGATTGAGGATGAAGAATTGTTCAACGCCGAAGCTGAACTTGTAAACTCATTTATGCAATCTGTGCACCATGACGAATCTAGCCATCATGGTTCTGTCACGGGGCGTTCATATATGCAGCGTGATAGAGAAAAGTGTCATGACCGAATGATGAAAGATAATTTCATCGAGTGTCCAAGATTTCCTGCTCATGATTTTCGGAGGCAATTTCGGATGAGGAAAGAGCTTTTTGAAAGCATCTTGAACGCAGTTGTCAATGATAACTACTACTTTGCAAGGAGTCTAGATGCCGCAGGCCGACAAGGTCTATCACCTCATTAGAAGCTCACATCTACTTTTCGCATACTAGTTAATGGGTGCTCTACAAACTCAACTGACGAGTATTGCCGACTTGCAGAAAGTACTGCTATTGAGAACCTGAAACGCTTCTGTAAGGCAATTGAAAGCATATATGGAACCACATACCTCCGTAAGCCAAATCGTGAAGACTTGAAGAAGCTTCTACGCAAGGTAGACAAAAGAGGCTTCCCTGGAATGATAGGAAGTCTCGATTGTATGCATTGGGAGTGGAAGAATTGTCCTACTGGTTGGGCTGGCCAATTCAAGGGTCGTCATAACAAACCAACCACCGTGCTCGAGGTTGTGGCGTCTTTTGACACATGGATTTGGCATGCTTTCTTCGGCGCTACTGGATCAAACAACGATATCAAAGTTCTTTGGTTTTCTCCTCTGTTCGATAATGTTGTCAATGGATAGACACCAGAATTTCGGTACAAGGTAAATGGTAATATGTATGAGTTAGGTTACTACCTAATTGATGGTATTTATCCTAGTTGGTCTACCTTTTTCAAAAGTTGTTCTCATCCTGATAGTGCAAACAAGAAATTATTTTCGCAGAGGTAAGAGTCTTACAGGAAGGATGTCGAGATAGCATTCGTAATCCTACAAGCTCGATAAGTCATTGTTAGAGGGGCTACGCGATTTTGGTAGACCGAAAACCTCCATTCAATCATGATGATGTGCATAATTTTGCACAACATGATTATGGAAGATGAGTACATCGAAATGGAAGAAGATTCAAACGAAGAAGTGGATGATGACCAACCAACACATGCGAGAGCTATTGCAAGAGATGTTGAATATCTAGCTCCAACCACATATGAGACCCAACAGGGATAGGGTCACCTTAACTGAGTATATGAGACGTTTAAATAGAATTCAAGTTCCCCAATGTCATGACACACTCCGCAAGGATTTGGTTGAACATGTATGGCGCCGAGAAGGTGAACGTTGATGATGTTGGTTAAGCATTTATGTAATAATTTTAAGCGTACTATGTTGTTATTTTCTAGTAATAAATTTAAGTGTCTTCTTGTGCAAAGTATTTTGTCTAGTACGTTGGATAAATTATTGAATAGAGGTTGAATTATTGAAGGCATCTATTCTACATCAAAGTGTGGAATAATAAGTACAATAATTAATAGAAATAATAATTAATAAGATATAAATTTAACAAAGTACATAAACCTCATAAACTTAATACAACCGATAATTCATAAACCACATAATTATTAAACTACATAAACTTAATACAACCAACAATTAATAAACTTAATTAATAAAGCACATAATTCATACACTACATAAACTTAATAATCATATCCACCATCTTCACTTGGTGATGGGCTTCGTACAAGACTTGTGAGATAGGGTTCAGAGGATTCATCATCTTGAAACATACTCCTTGAGGCAGACTTTCGCATAATTTCCTTTTGCTTTACTGATAAGCTCATATCTATATATATTTTACATCAAATTCACTTGTCTTTTCTTAGTTAGTTCCTTATATTTTTGAGCTATTTACTTTGTTTTTGTGTTTTGTAGGATTTGTCAAGTAAAGAAAAGAAAAATAGCACAAGTGAAATTTTAAGTAACAAATCCGTCAAAACTGCCTATGCACGTCAGCTGACTTTGGAAGCAAGTTGCGGACAGCTCAGAATGAATTAGAGAATGAGCCTTATATGCTTGGAAAGCTACGGATGTCTATTTTCCGGATCATTTCGCGGATTGTTAATATCATTTTCTAGAAAAAGTTATGGCCGTTTTAATACTAAAAGGTTCCCAAGAGGATAAGCAGTTTATAACTGACAAGAAAGCATTGAAAGCAATAAATCCAATAAATTTAGCAGCCAAAACTGATGCAATCAAGAACAAACCAGCTGACACCTATTCAAATATCAAAGGAAATGGAATTAAAGATGAGGATTAAGAGGGAGTTATTGGCATAAAGGCTACCCAAGGAGTTACAATTGTTTTACCATTTCCTCTCACTTATTGTCATCACTAAATGGCTATTAGTGGGTGAGTTAAGAAGAAGAAAATGATGCAGCAATAATTGATTTAAAAGCAGCGTTGGGGAAGGAAGGAAAGGGGGGGAAAGCCTTAGTCAATTTCTTTCAGTTCTATTTTCTCAAACTCATGTCTATCTTTTGTTTTAACTTAAGGATTGTGTAACCAAATTTTTAGTAGTTAAGGGCTGTTTGAAGCCCCGAATATAATTGCAAGTTTGTTATGACATTTCGTTTGAATTACTTTTATGAATGGATGAAAATTGGTTCACTACTTGTCTCATTGATGAATTCTTTATGTGTTCTCTACGGATGCATACTTAGTAAGCATATCTAGGATTCTAATGCTATGAATATGTGTGTGCCTGCCCTTGTCGAATAACGACCTACATATATTCTAGAGTAGTACTTGTTAATTGCGTTTAACATGTGAACCAATTTCTTGGATAAGTAAGATAACGCTAGTACTTACGATGCCTTGTGATGACTCAAACTCTTTTTGTTCTTAATGATTTCTACTTGTTAAATCTATGAACACGCCATTCTAGATTGCATGCTAGGGACTAAGTTAAGTTGAAAACGACATTCTCTTAACATACCACATAAGAAAGAGTAATAGGTTGAGTTCTAACATTGAGCCAACTTGAGCATCTTCATCCGGAAATAGAAAGAATTTGAATGAAACATAACATGTTTGCATGATTATTTGGTGGTGGATAGCAATTCCCCTAACCCATTTTTCTTAATTTGTGAACTACTTAAAATTTGTTTCTGTTCTGTTTTTGTTCGATTTAATTTAAATAGCAAATCAACTCTAAAAATCCCAAAATTTTGTATGAGTGTAGCTCTGTGTGTCTAGTATCTGTATATAAAATTTCGTAGACTTTAGATAAGTGTAAGTTGGTCTAATAATTAGTGTTCGGTGGCTGGTTAGTAGGGACAACAACCCAGTTTTTGTGACATTTTAAGTAGTTAGATAAAACAATCTTCTGCGGGAAAGACCCTTATTTTCATATGCTACAATTGACAAATCTTATTGTTAATAAGGAAAATCAATAGGACATTTGTGTGCTACTTTGTGGTGTGCTTTTAATCCTATCATTTAACACATAAGAATTTCTTCCTCTCTGGAGTGTATTTGCTGAGGTTCTCCATCATGAAATTAATTTCAAACCTATCTTGCTCCCTATCCGAGATTTCCTTCATTTGCAAATGCATTCGGGCTGATTCTTCTTGGCGAACGCTATGGGTTTCGTTCAATTTTGCAATTCCGGTAGCAAAGTGTCCCGAATCTTGGGACTTACCTTTTCTCTATGCTTCCTTTTGTTAGTCCCTTCCCGAAGGCCTTGCAAAAGGAGATGGTATCATTTCATCAACACCTTCATCGACACGTTCATCTCCGACATTTGTGTGTGCGGCTTCACGTTGAAATAATCTTCCACATTATTGGTCTGCATCAGTTCCCCACCTCGGACAATACTTGAGGACGTTCCAAGCATGTTGCAACTTAAAAACTTGATTTTTTTGTGTTACTCTTGTCTTGTAAATTTCCATTGCTTTGTCACCCTATGCAAAAAATACATAAAAATAATTAGTTGCAAAATAATATTATGTACATGACAAATGAAATATCAAGAACAAAACTCACGATTTCTGTGGCACTCCTTCCACTAGCCATGTCAACCACGGCTTTCTCCAAGTTTCTCTTCCATAAAGTGCATGTTTTGTTAATAGTCTTCCACCGATCATAAACACCACTACCATCTCGCCCGCCGCCATTGCAATTTTCTTGACACTTTGCAATGATTTTATTCCACAAAACCTTCTTATTTTGATTTGTACTAACTGCACCATCTTTGCTAACACAAACTCATGCCAAGCATAACGCAACATCTTCCTCACAGGTCCAATTACGACCTCTAATATGCTCTCTTGCCATGTTGAACAATTTGGAAATGGAAAGAAAAGGAAGAAAGATAAATTGGAAGAATTGTAGGAGCAAATTGAGTTTTGTGTGAATGTTTGAACAAATACATAGGTATTTATAGACTTTTTGGGTGAATTTTGAGTTAAATAATTTTTTTGTTTATTATTTTAGTCGTTGGATTTAAATTTGGGCCGTTCGATCTTTTTTTTTTTTACCGTTAGATTTGATTATATTCGATCTCAGCCGTTGGATTCAATAATATATAAATAAAAAAAAATATTTTGAATCTAGGCCCTTGGATTAACCAACGGCCTGATGATTACAGCCGTTCGATTAAAAGAGCCGTTAGAGCTTTGGGGAATGTGGCCGACAGGCCCATGTGGGTGGGTCCCGACCGGTCAGAAAGAGCGTACGCTTGGCGCATTTGGCGAGTCCATTGGCTGGGTTTGGAGCCCAAACGCTGAAAACCACTCTCTTTAGTGGGGCCCACTCCGATTTTGGGCTAAATTTTGGGCGGTTTCTAGCCTTACTTTCCCTTTTAGAATCTAGCCCACATTTTCCCCTTGGGTTGGAGTGAGTGTTGGGGGGGGGGGGGGGGAGGGGGATTTTAGCATTTAGCCCACCATTGGAGGTGGTCTTATGACTTAAAATTTTAGCCCGAAATTATTATATAATGATTTTAGCTTTTTTTTTTATTTTTTGGTAACTTTTTTGAAAATAAAATTGATGTAGATTATCTTAATTTATGTAGAACATCCCTTTCAATTTTACACCCAGCAATAAAACACCTTATTTTTCCTCTAAAATGGCATAATTTTACATATCCACATGTCAAGTGAGAATTCGGTTTGGTGGGTTTGGATAATAACTCTTAGATGAGGTGCAATAAGCACCTTTTCGACCTCACCAGCACCTTGAACGTTTACGCCTCCTATCTCCGAGAAAACCTCGACACCCTCATCGAGGCCCAAATCCGAGTCCAAGCTTAGCTCTCGAGACTCCACTCTTGGACCACCGTTGTGGTAGCGTTCGATGAACCGAAATGTAATTTTGACCCAACCCTCTGCCGCTTATCTTCCCCTCTTTTGTCTTCCTTACCTCTCTCGAAGAAAATCGGGCGATTCCACGTGTTTGACTTCACGATAACGTCAACATGATGTCAGATCCACTTAGGTGTATACTCGAGCATTGGTTGCCTAATTGAATAACAATAAAAAACCGTGCGTTGACCAAAAATGTCAAAATCGGAACAAAAATCGAACTGAACTATCTCAAACCGGTTTTGGTTTAGAAATACTAAGAACCGGACCGAATCACTTTTAATATAAATTATTCTTTTATTATTATTTTTATATAAATAAGATATTTTTCCAAGGTCATATGCATAAGCCCAATAGTTTTACTCACTTATCTCCCCCTCATTTATTGTTTATCACTTCTCTCCCTCTATTTTATTTTTCTCATTCTTTTCGAGTATATTATGCATTATGTACACTTTAGTTTTAGTTAGGATGTACACTTTGGTCTTCATCCGAGCCTTTCTATTTTATTTATTTATATTTATATGTACACTTTCTATCTTCCAGTCACAAATCTTGTAGATCTAGTAGTGGGAACTCAAATTTGCTTGAATTGTGGTTGAAGTATGTGTTTGGTATTGGAAGTAGAAATTTCAAGAAAAAAAAAAATATATATATATATATATATATATATATATATAATTTTGGTTAGATCAGTTAGACTAGCATGAACCGAACCGTACAATTTAGTAGCAATTTTAAGCGAAACCGCACTGAACCAAACTGTTAATATTTTTCAGTTTTGATTTCGATCTGAAGGTGAAATTGGACCGAACCAGACAGTGCCCACCCCTTGTTAGGTATAGGGTGGACCTCCTCTAAAGTGTCCATACATTAAAAAGCATTACACGTCACCTCGCCCTCTCACATGTTAATCGATATGGATGTTTTCAATAAAATTCAATAGGAATTAATTTGGCTCCTCAATAAATGAGGAGTTTCATCTCAATTTGCTGCATGATCATTTTACGAAACTTCATATTTATGATCAGAACCGAGCCCTATAAACAAGGGAGAAGAAGACATGGTGAGGGTAAGTTCCATGCAATTAAATAATTAATCTATTAATTAATCAAAATAATAAGTTTGTTTTGTAACTTTGAGTTAGTATTGGGCCTCTAGGTCCAATACGCACGAGTAATACATGGGCTTCCTGATGTTGGTTGGTGAAAATCAAGGTGTTTGTTTTGGTCATATGATATCAAAGAACGCCTCTGGAAGCTACTCTAAAGTTGGAAGGGCAAACTATTAAGTGCTACCAATGCCAGCAAGGAACCTCTAGTCAAAGTAGTGGCGCAGGGCATCCCGCTGTACACATTGAGTTGTTTCCTTCTACCTCAATATTTCTGCGAAGACCTAAATCGACTATTAGCAAAGTTCTAGTGCAACGGAACGGATGACGGAAAGAAAATACATTGGCTATCATAGCACAAATTGTGTATATATACACCAGAGGAAGGAGGAGGGTTGGGGTTCAAGAATATGCATGCATTTAATTCGGCTTTTCTAGCTAAACGAGGGTGGAGACTCATTCAAGAGCCCAATTCATTGGTGGCAAAAGTCCTCAAAGCAAAATACCCATCCTAACACCCATTTTGTGGAAGCCCAGCCGACAAATAAGATAAGGCATATGTGCAGATAGTGAGGTCATTGCAAAAGGTTCAAGATTGCCCCGTAGGCAACAGAGAGATTTTTTTTTTGGTTAAACGATAAATTTGTTAGATTATAATATGGAAAGATCGCTGGGTCTCAGATCCAGACAGCCTTTAAGGTTTCTTACCCAAGCCTCTGGATTCTGAAGTGGTTCTCGTTAGCGACCTCATTGATGTAAAGAGCAAGCAATGGAATCTCCACCTTGTTCGCTCTTGGTTGTCTGAGATGGAAACTGATCTTATTTGATCCATAGCAAGCAGTGGAATCTCCCCCTTGTTCGCTCTTTGCAACGACAACCTTCCTGCTCGTGTTCTCGTGAAGGTTTGTGCATGGTGAATCAGCACTACACCTTATGCGGAACTGCCATTTTTCTGTCCGTGCTTGGGTTTCGACACCAATTGGTCACACACCACGTGGAATATCTATGAGCTCAACGAAGCATTGGGTTTTGCATTTAGCTTCCCTTCTCAACATCCAAAATTTCAAGGCGTTGCAGGGGACTTTATCGCGGCCTAAATGTTGCGTTTTGAAAATGTTCTTTCGCGGTTGCATATCGAGGCGTTAGCAGACAGAGTGTTGAAAATGAATCTTATATTGATAAGAGAATGGACTTTGCATAAACTTATAAGTAAATTAGACTACTCCTTATATTGCCAATTGAATTTAAGATGTAATCTCAACTTTCTTCACAAAGAAGAGCTGCTTTGGCGGTGGGGGGAGGGTTTTAGAGAGTGATTCACTCCATATCATTACAGCAATTCAGGAGCGTTCTACCAATGTGTCCAATATGTCTAGCAGCCTACACTCGGAAATATTGTGGAGGATGCCAAAGTCCTGCTATCTCAGATCACTGGAGCTATGTCCGCTCATGTGCGCGGCCAAGCAAACGAGACGGCTCATTGTCTTGCTCGCAACGCTCTCCACGGAGTCTGTCTCGATCGTCGTTTGAGGAATCCCCAGACATCATGGAAGAATGTACTTGATTGAGCTGGGTTCTCTTCCACAGTTCCTTGTGCTGTACCGTACGTGTTAACTTTGATGGTAAGCAACGATACATGATTACAAAAATCTTTTCAAAAGGCGATCCAAGTTGAGTTGCCTACGTCACACGCACAGCAACCGAAAAGGAATCCCTCGTATTTGCGGCATCTTCCCTTCCAAAAAACCTTCACGTTCGTAGCAGACTCCAAAAACAGATTTAAATCCCAGATTTGATACTATTCACCAAACGTACAACCACCCAAAATTAAAAAAGAAATTTCCGTTCCTGCCAGTTTTTATTTTTATTTTTTCCTTTACTTCTCCATCGTAAAGCTGTCTTTGCATTACATTTAGGGGAATGAAAAATATATATTACATATTATATAAAATATTATACATAACCAAAAATTTATAGATTAAAGAGGGGAAAAAACCCAAAAAACAGCCATCTCATAGAGCCAAGATCACACACACTTTTGATCTTATGTATAAAACATTCAAACTCAAAGTCATCACATTCACAATCCCTCAGAAAAAAGGTGGTCTTGCACTTGCACTACTTCTTCTCTCCTTGGCTTTAACTTCCTTGGACTTATATTTCAATCTCTCTTCTTCTTCTAACTTGTCTTTTTTTTTTTTTTTTTATATATATATAAGTATAATCTCATTTGATTTCTAAGCGGCCGCCACTGTGCCTGTATGGACAGGATAATCCTGTGCCGTGGCGGTGTTGGCTGAGTTGTTTGATTTCCGTTGCTCTCTTTTTCTCAGCGCTTTCATGGAGGAAGAGCGGTTCCAGTTCTTCTCCTTCGCCTCGTCTATTTCTATCTGCTCATCTCTGCACTCCTCACTGCAGAACGGAGTGTCACCTCTGCAAATATTAAACCAATCATACAGAAATTCAGAATCCAACAACCATTTTATTATTTACCGAAAACACAACAAACCCACTTCCATTTCTTCCAAATCTAAGGAACCCACATCCAGAAAACTTAAATCAAAACTAAAACAACGGTTTTACTCAGATCCACCCAATTTTCTGTTTGGCTATGGAGAAAAAAAAAAGGTGGGATCTTTCTCTTATTTTCCGGGAAAAAATGTTCAAATTTCCACGAACCCACACTTTTTTCTGCTCACAAAATTCAACCAGAATCGCCAAATTTTGAAAAGGAAAAAAAAGGGGAAATTGATCGATGGATTTGAAGTGGGTAATCAACCAACCTGTACATGAAGATGTCTCTGTTATCACCGAGTGGTTTCTTGCAGAGGAAACAAGCATCCAAGAAATGGGGTTGGTGGTGCTCCTCAAACCTGGCGTCACAGAACCTCCCAGATCTCGGCGAAAAAGAAGACGACGAAGAAAACGAAGCCATGGCGGGAGAAACGTTTCTGAAGCTGCCACTCCGCCTCGCGAAACACATCGGCCTTGAATAAAACGGGTGGTTGGACCCGGAAAACCCGGCTTCCATATCAGCCAGCGAGGCCAACCCATCGTCCTCGTCGATGAAACAAGGCCGCCTTGCAGCGCCGGAAACTGATTCCATTTCCTCTGAAGTTCTGATGATCTCAGTGCTGGAATGCGTTTGGCAGGAGAGAGAACGAAACGGAGAAACAGAGAGAGATGTGGTTCATGAGGAGAAGGTGGAGCCTTTTTAAAAGGAGACTTGGTGTGAGAGGAGAGAGAGAAAGTCTAGAGAGAGAAAGAGATGTAAACAACAAACAATAAACAAACGGCAGATTTGTGAAATCCGTGATATTGAATCCATTGGCTCAAAATACCCGCATTCCCTAAGTTCCAAATATTTAAATCACAAAACTCTCACCCTCATTCTCCAAGTAAATTACGTGTGTGCCATCGAGCCCAAATGGGCGGTGTCACAGAGGCAGTGGCTGTTTCGTAGTTTTGAGAAACACAAGGGCTAAAGTCAAGAGACTGTGTTGTCGTATCCGGGGTCCGAGATCTTTGACAGTTCTCCAGTTTTGCGCTCAGAGCAAGTGGGACCCGCGTCGCGCGACCTAATCGCACTCAATGATACGTTCTAACGCCCGTCGGAGTGGAACTGAGGAGGGAGAAGGGGCGGTACCACGCGCCAGTACATTGCGCGTCAACGTAACGGTCACACCGCCCATTCTACTTCATTTGCCTTCAAGTGAAAATACGTGGGTTTCTTTGTCTTTGTTGGCGACTTCCGACATCGCCTCATGGCAAATCACTTTTACCTTTTGATTTATTTTTTTCTAGTATAAAAGAAATAAAGTTCCAAAACTTGACGATAGGTTGGTTTGATATTGCTGTGTTTTGAAAAAAAAATTGTTTTTATTATACTATGGAAAAAAACGGTTGTGAAATAAAGCAGCAGAGTATTTGATAAACTTTTTTGTAAAAGTGTTTTTGAAAAAAAAAAACTGTATGATAATATTTGGTAAACTTTTATGTAAAACAACTGTGATTGTATAAAATGACTAAAAAGGGTATAATACTAGATGTGCCATTAAGTTAATTTTCTTAACCAATAAAGGTGAATTACTAAATATACTTTATTTGTAAAAGAAAAATATTTATAAACTTCATCTTAAATATTAATTAGTATGACAAACTATTTCAATTAAAATATTTTAGACTCAATAGCTAGAATTCATTAGTACAATATTATTAATGTACTTGAAAGTAACCTAATTAGATGCATTCATATGTGCAATCTGTATATTTGGAGAAAGTGCAATCTGTTTGTTTGGTGGGTGAGAGCAATTTACTTGAAATAGGAAACCAATATAAACTTCCATAGACCTTTTTTTTTTTTTTTTTTCTTTTGTTTAATGATTATATTTTTGTTCATCACTTTCATATAGTAGTGATGTTCATTACCTTATTTATAATCGTTAGATGAGTTGAAGTTTTTAAATTTGTGTCTATCCACTATGCAGATCTCTAAATTTAAACTCAGTTAATGGTTATAAATAAGATTGTGAAAATTATCATCACTTAAGAATGGTAAGCAAAAATATTCCATTATTTAATTGCAAATATCATTACATCCAATATTTTCAAATATGACGCTACGGAGATCAATTTTTTAGATTAAATTTTGTAAATCTTATGACGTGGTCATTGATTATTTAATTACTTAAGTTTGTCGAATGTCTTTAAGAGATACCAAATGTCAGGAGAGATGAAATTTGTCACTGATCTTGAAAGTTCTTATATTCGAATAGTTTATTTTCGTTAATCAATACAAAATTTATATGTAGTCTAATATTTTAGTGAATAAAGTGTTAGATTTCATCCATATGTTCCGTGTTCAAAACTTTCTCTCTTAATTATTGTAATAGTTTCGAATTCCCTTCCTCCTTAATAATAATCAAACAAAATTTATAGTTAAACGAGAAATTGTATTAGCATAAAATGACTTTGCGAAAAGGTTGATTAGCTAAAAAAAAGTTTTGAGTAAAATGAAATAATGGAATAAGTTACTTTTTAAACATGGTTTAATGAGATTGTCCATTTTAAGAAATTTCTGTGACGTTCCATGTCCTTGTTTGGAAGAAAAAATTTGTTCGTTCTAATAACTTTCCACGCTAAGCATTATTTCCCATGTTTGATATTCACTTGCGATTCTGTATAAATGTTTCGTTTTTCTTTTTGAAAAAAAAATAGATAACCGATGACAAGTCATGGTAATTATGCATCGTTTCTGGATTAAGCGGAATTTGACTCTACTTGTTTTTTTTTTCAGCTTGTTATCTACACTAATGAGAATAAGATTTAGCTTCGAGTTAGTAATAATGTGGTTCATATTTCCCCTTAACTAAAATCGATCATGAAATTTTTCACTTACAAATAAAGTAGAACACCTCAAGACCGTAATACTAAATAACATGCAAATGCCTTGTTTAAAACATCTAGACTTCCCAAATGATTATTTGTTGCAAAATTCTTTAATCGTATACGTATTTCAACGTAAGTCCCCTTCACGCGCCATAAATGCAAGTCATAGTACCATCAGTTCACTTTCTCCTCTCCTCCAAAACCCACGGTTTCACTTTTCCCCACCTTGCCCCTCACTCCAACTCCTTTTTCCTCACTTTAATAATGACGTCATACATCCATCCCCATATGCCTTTGTCGTTTTCTTTGGGGTCCCCACATCCCCACAAAACCATCTACGCTGGGCCCCATGGCCTATTATGATGATGGCGTGGGCCGTGGTAAGTGGTGTTTTGAGAGAGAGAGAGAGAGAGAAAGAAAGCCTTCTTATTGGGATTTGTTTATTGTGCGTTGCAGCTCTTTCTCCGAGTTTTTTGTTCCCTCTAAGCACGGCCGCTGCCCGAGTGTGCCGGGCAGCTGACCCGTCTGCCCTTTTAAATGATGATTCACCGCTTCACCCGTGTGACGGTCTGCTTGTACCACCACACCGTCTTGGGTTATGTGATACTGCCACGCGGTGAGCAACGGACAAAAGTTTCTACGCTCGCTGACTGACTCTGTAGAGAGATTTTTTTTAATGGTCGGTACACAGAATGATACATTATGTATCATTATACAAATAATGTAATATATATGCTAAAAAGTTAATAATTTTAAAAATAAAATTTTCCGTCATATCTATTAAAACACATGATATACCACTTGGCTAATGATTTAGAGGCACCGTGGACGATTCTATTCACTGCTGCCATGAAGCTTTTCTGCCCTTCCTTTCATGCCGTTGGATTCCATCACTCTTTTTACTATTATTAAGAACAATATTATTAATTACTCTAAATTACATTACAACGAAAATCTTTCACTTTCTCAAACACACAAATTGATATTTGTTTTTCGGTTAACCACGGGCATAAGTTCGAAAGAAAAAGAAGAGTGCATACGAATATTTTAAGGCCACGAGATTCTAAACTGAATAACAAGTCTAAACAAGTTAAATTACCAGCAATAAAATTATTTTCACGATAATTTACTATTGACTGAGAAGTGCTCTTCTATAAGTGACTCACAATGTGATGATTTATATTTCGAATATATTAAAAATAAATACTTATACTATGATTACATAGAGAATTAAAATAAAACACGGTTAGCTAAAGAAGAATTTTCCTTTTTAACAAACGATTTTATCTACGCTAAGAGATGTGTAAAGTTAGCCTTACAATAACTAATAATAATGTGGTTCAAATTCATTTTTAATAAAAATCGAACATAAGACTTTTTATTTATAAGTAAATAGAAAAATTTAAACAATTAGAGTAATTCGTTACTTTTTTTTATTTAATTTTCAATTCGGAACGTGTTGGATTTCTCTATAAGATTGTTTTATTGGTTTTGTTGTGGATTTTATATGAATTTATGATTGGACTATTTTTTAGTTGTAAGAGGAAGTGACAGAACATAACCATGGGCGTTTAAATGGCCCACAAATGGACCTTTTGTCCTTGTTTCTTGAAGCTTCCGTCAAATTCTATTTCAATGTTTCATTGGAGGTCTTCTCCCGGCACTTGAATTGACCCGTTTTAGAGCACCTTCTTTTAGAAAAGCAAACTACACAAAAATAGTTCACCGTCATGTGTGTTTCCATTCAAAAAATAAATTAAATATAAAAAATTTGTACCTGGCAAATATATATTATTGGACGAAAAATTCTATGTGGCGTTAACCCATTCTATGTAACAAAGTCTAAAGGTAAAAGAGATTCCAACCAATATATCAATCATATATGCATTGGCATAAAAATTGTGTGCTGCTAAGTTTGAGATATTTTTTTTATATATTTTGTTCTATGAGTCTATTGTGTGCTGCTAAGTTTGAGAATTTTTTTATATATTTTGTTCTATGAGTCTTAGTAATGCACCAAACACAACTCATGAAAGTTAAATTTGATTGATTTGTTATGAAGAGTAGGTCATACAAATATTAATTGAATAAAAAATGACACATCCCGATCCGGAATGTCTACCTAGACTCTGAATCAAGTTGTGCTGGTCGACACTAAGAGGGTGACGAAGCCATAAAGTGTAGTGAAGTGGAAAATGTAAGTAAGTGTAAACCAAAAAATGCCTAAGTATAAGAGTGTGCTAGTGAGCGAGAAGGAACCCATTGCACATGTGATGTCAGAGCATAAGTAAAGTACAGTAGAGTCGATTGAGAGTTATACCATCGGAGGTAATCTCCAATACCAGATTTGTCAAGAATCCTCGTCGATACGAAAGTTCAGCTGCTAAAAACCTGGAAGGGCGAAAAACAAGGGTGAATAGGCCTAAAAATAAAGCTTTGTAAAAACCCTTTCGAAAACATAATAACCTCTCGCTGTAAAACAAGTATAGTTTCCAAAATATACATACTACGTATAGTAAGAAAATACTTTATCTCGATACTCAATAGGTCTTCACAGTTTTCTTGATACTCAATTCACTCTAATAATGGGAAATTAACTCGCACTTCGATTCTACTGTCTACTTGTGGAAGTGACCGAAAAGGTGGCTAGTCAAAGAATTTTTGTTTACCTAGATAGGTGATAAGGTAAAAACAACTATAAGTTTATTGTCCTAATAC